TTTTTTTTTTTCATTTTTTAAAATTTTTTTATGTGAACTAATTATGATCTAGGATAGGAATATTGTATGGGAACTGAAATCTTGTAATTTCGAGCAGTTGAACTGTAGCTTAAGAAAATCCTAATGAGGATGAGTGCGTTCTTTTATTATTTTATTATGAAGATTAATAAGTTATGTAATGGATTTTAAATGATTTGTACACTACGGGGTGAGGATTGTAGCTAGGTTTTGTGTGTTACGGATCTGGGATTTGGAATTAAGAGGAAATTACGATTTTTATTATTATTATTTCGGTTGAACTGAATCTTGGTGTATAATCCTGGTTAGGACTTGGGACTAACTGTTTTTATTGTACACCTCATTTTATCTGGACCTTTTCACTTGCGGCTTTTAATGGGTTTATGTAATTTAATGAAACAAAAAGTGTTTGCCACTTTTGAAGGTGCACTCCTAATTCAATCTATTTTATAAGCTTAAGTTTCAGAGATGGTAGTTTCTTTGTGTTAAATAATGGCCATTGAAGGTTTTGAAAATTTTGTGTTTTGTAAAATGCTACTTTCAATGATGGAACGATACATGCAGGGCTTGGGACCTTACTCCACCAGCATAAAGAAAGTCGAGAAGGAAATCAAGGAAATGGCCAAGAAAATTAATGATTTATGTGGTATGTTTCATGGCCCAATTTTGTTTCTTTAGACAGAAATTTTTTTGTCTTGTTATGATCAGGGCATGGAGTTTTGTCTAATCATTGAACAGTCTTTTGAAAACTTCTGAACTCTTTCATTATCTCATGGATTATATTGGTGTTCATTACTTTAATTCTGCCAAGAATAATCAGTTGATTTTTCGCTTCATGTTAGGTATCAAGGAATCTGACACTGGTTTAGCTGCCCCCAGCCAATGGGATCTTGTCTCTGATAAGCAAATGATGCAGGAGGAGCAACCTCTGCAGGTGAATTATTTGATTGCTAACTTATTTATTCTGTCTATCATGTTTTACACCCCAAAAGGGCATAACTTCAGCTTGTGATCAGGTTGCAAGATGTACGAAGATCATTAGCCCAAACACAGAAGACGCGAAATATGTTATTAATGTTAAACAAATTGCAAAGGTATGTTAGCTTCCCTTTCTTCTTGACAGCTTTTTCAAGAATTTTGTACCCCATAGCTTAACTAAGGGAAAAAATAAAAAAAGAATCTAGATGTTGATGTTTCCTCAAAACCAGGCATTTCCAGATTTGACATTTGTGCTTCCTGTTTGTTTTACATCTGTAGTGTAGGGTAACTTATTTCATTTAAATACGGGAAAAAATTTGTCGTAGTCGTGAATATCTCATTTATTTTAGCACCATTCCTGCAGTTTGTTGTTGGATTGGGTGATAAAGTTTCACCAACTGATATAGAAGAAGGCATGCGAGTTGGGTAAGTTTTTTCTGTCTGATTTTCCTTTACGCTATGAAACATGACTATGTTATTTGCAGGACTTCATGACTTGTTATTTGTTGTACTTGATAATGAAGTGTACCAATGCAATCGTTTTGGTAGAAGAATTTTTCTATTTTATACCGCAAAATGCTGAACTGTGTTCAAGTTAATATATTGATCCATCAAGTGCTATGATTTCCTCATTGCTGTAGTTTTTATTTCCAAATTCGGAATAGCAGTACTATTTTAATATGAAATGCCTAGTTGTATGTATACATCTGAATTAGGGTGGTTCACAATCTCAACCACGTCCCATGTTTCAGTGCTGCTGATGGTTCTGGAATTTGCCTCTCCATTTGTTTCACCTCATTAAGCCAAAAACCTATTTGCTATTTATTTGGTAACATGTGATACAGTAGGCTGGAGCTTCCTCATTGTTGGTATATGATTCATTTTGCTATTGTGATGCATAGTTTGACATTTTCTTTTATCATTGCAGTGTTGACAGAAATAAATATCAAATCCAGATCCCATTGCCTCCGAAAATTGATCCAAGTGTTACAATGATGACAGTGGAGGAAAAGCCAGATGTTACCTATAATGATGTTGGTGGATGCAAGGAGCAGATTGAAAAGATGCGAGAGGTTTTTTTAATTGATTCTTGTCATGCTTTGAATAGATATTCGTCATTGATATTGATGCTATATATTATTTGTATTCTCACGTTCTCCCATCAACTAAATCTATTTTTATTTTTGAATAACTCTATTAGAAGATTTCAATTTGAAATTTGATTTGCTTTCATGACTGCACTGTCTGATGGATATGGTAGGTTGTTGAGCTGCCCATGCTTCACCCTGAAAAATTTGTGAAGCTAGGGATCGACCCCCCAAAGGGTGTTCTCTGCTATGGTCCTCCTGGTACTGGTAAAACACTGTTAGCCAGAGCCGTGGCTAATAGAACTGATGCATGTTTTATTCGTGTTATTGGAAGCGAACTTGTTCAGAAATATGTCGGTGAGGGAGCAAGGATGGTTCGTGAACTATTTCAGGTCAAGTCCTCTGTTACTCTAGTTTGTGTACATGTTCACTTACATTACTTGCTGTCTGATTATCACCTTTTCCTTGATGCAGATGGCCCGCTCTAAAAAAGCTTGCATCGTGTTTTTTGATGAAATAGATGCCATTGGAGGTGCACGGTTTGATGATGGAGTGGGTGGAGATAATGAGGTCCAACGCACAATGCTTGAAATTGTCAATCAGCTTGATGGATTTGACGCTCGTGGGAATATTAAAGTACTAATGGCAACTAATAGGTAGGTTATGTTTGCTTTTTCTCATTTACTTGTTTTTATTCTGGTCTTACTGAGCTTGTCAATGCTTTTTTCTATTCTGAGGTGTAAGATAATTGACAGAGTAACACAAATGGCATGTACATATTAATTATCGTAAGCGGTTTATTAGCTATTGGCATTATATTCTTTTATCTGATGCAATTTAAAATTTAGATTGTTTTAGCACCTGCAGTGCTCATGCTGTCGTGCACATGTAACCAGTAATCTCCACCCCTTCTTTGTCTCTCTCAAAAGAAATAGTGAATAAATAAATGAAGCAACTGTGTTGACCTTGGTCATCTTGTTTTTGTTTCTTAATGATCTTCCGGAGCATTGATAGGGCATATGAACTACATAATTATCATTCTGTTTTCTCTGTTTGTGTCAATTTATCTTATTACCCATATTCCACACAATTTGTTTAGTTTTACAGGGATACGGCTCACTTCAAAGTTTGGAAAAATGTGTAACCTTTGCGTGCCTGTATATATCATGTTTCTTCCCTTTTACATTCCTTTTCCATTGGTTCTGGGGTGTTCAGGTGGCACTCCGTTTCTTTCAAATTTTAAATCTTAAATTATTGTTGTTATGTTTAAAGGTTTTCTTCTATAGACTATAATGCCGAATTACCTGCTAAGACCATTTTGCTTTTTGTGGCACAGTGGCTTCCTTGTGATTCTACAATCGCTTATGTTTTCTAATATAATTGCGGCTTTCTCTAATTTTAGACCTGATACACTGGATCCTGCACTATTACGTCCTGGACGGCTTGATCGTAAAGTGGAGTTTGGACTGCCAGATTTAGAAAGCAGAACACAGATATTTAAGATTCATACACGAACAATGAATTGTGAGAGGGACGTCCGGTTTGAACTTCTGGCTCGGCTTTGCCCAAATTCTACTGGTACGAAATTGAACTCTATAGATATTCATGTTAGGCTTCGGTAAGTTCTACTGGTACATCTTATTATCCTTGTTCATTTCTCGGAAAAAAGTTGATAGATTATAGGCTTGATTTTGTATAGCATCAATAAACATACTAAGAAAAGATTGCTACCAGCAATTTGTCTTAACTATTGGTAAAGCATAACTATTTAAGCCCCAGGGGTGGCTATATTTCTGGGTGCATACAAACTATTTCGAGAAATATGCCTGAATATTATGAGAATTTACATGAACGGAATAGGGTCGTATTGAAATTTCTTTTAAGTCCATCGTATCAATGCAGGAATTAAACCATCGAGGAATTACTTACAAAGTTCAGTTTCGGAAATGTTGTCATGTCTGCATGGTAACATCTGACAAATGATTGATATATTTACTAAGTTGCATCTTCTTATTCAGGAGCTGACATAAGGAGCGTGTGCACAGAGGCTGGAATGTATGCTATACGAGCAAGAAGGAAGACCGTGACAGAGAAAGATTTTCTAGATGCTGTCAACAAAGTCATCAAGGGATATCAGAAGTTCAGTGCAACACCAAAGTACATGGTGTACAACTGATCACTGTTCTCCATTGAAGTTTGATGCAGTTGGGAATAAGGAGAACTTTCATGGATATTCATTCTTACATGCTGTATGTTCCCCGGCTCGCTTGGCTGCTAACTTGATACTGTACCCTGTTATCAACCGTTTGCTGTTGTCACCTTGATTCCATATGAAAAAATATTCCGAACATCTTGATTTGTGCACTACTTTTGTTTCAGCTAGATTTGTACTATGATAATTTAAAGATTTGATATGAAAATTGCAACAGTGTCGTTTTTAAAGTGCTGCCATTTTAGAATTTTTTGTAGCTGCCTGCTTCTAGACTGAAGATGTCATAAAAGGAGATTTTTCCGGTTATTCATTTGGTTTTCTTAAAGAAAGAGAGAAATGAGATCCCCTCATTTTTTTTTTTATATATATTTGACTCGATCCAACTAGATAATAATATATTTTGGCAGAATCCCATTGAACTGATAAGTTAGGATCTATTTGACACAATTGTTGTGAACAGATACGAGCTTTAAAAAAAGAGAGCTGTTGATTGATTGGTTGTCAGTGTTATCAACGAAACTATAGTAAAATATAGTTAGAAATAATTCCCATTTTAAGTATACTGGTTGGGCAGCTATAAAGAGACTGAAACATTTACAAGTGCAATTGGACATTTAGATGGGCGTATGTATCTGTACAAGAGGGATATGTTGCTTAAGATTTCAATGAACCTGAAATGAGAAATCAGGATCTTGTCTACTCGATCTATACATGCATAATGGCCGAATGCTAAGGTCATTTCTAAATCTTCACAGGAAGGTTTGATTTCTGTATTGTCATTCTTCGTCCTGTGATCCTAATCTTAGTATATATGAAAAGCAGATGCAATTTGTTGGATTTCTACGGCTACTGGAATGGTAAGAAGTCGCTTCAGATGTTAGCAGAACCTTGTTTTCCACTTTCTCGTTTGTTCCTAAATGTTCCGTTTGGGTGCTTAGCCTTTGTGTTGCAGATTATCAGAAAGAATGGTTGACCCAAGTTTTCATACTACATGATAACCCAAAAGATGCAAATCTGATATTAATCGGCTTTAGGGGCAGGGCACAGAACCCTTCGATGCTGATGATTGGCTACTCGATACCAGAACTAGGAAAAGTTCATATGGGTTTTCTAGAAGCCTTAGGTTTGGGAAACAGAAAGAGTGCCTTGACATTCCAAGAAAATCTCCTACTTCCCAATGTTAAACCAGTCTTCTGACAAGAAGCCCGTTCTTGTGATATGAGAGAGGACTGCATATTATTCTGTGAAAAGTAAACTCAAGTACTTACTAAAGGAATATAAGAACGCATAATTTGTGGTTACGGGGCATAGTTTATGAAGAGCACTGGCCATCTTGTTCCCAACAGTGCTAGTGTTGGAAAAAAATGGCCAGTGGGATATTTTTGGCATAATTTTGAATGGGATCCGTTTGTTCATTTTGGAAGATCAAAGTTGATTTGTGTTCTCCTCCGTGAGACCATCGAAATCATGTATTTACTTGCCAAAATTGATGTTCGGTTGAATGAGAAATCGAAGCTCAAAATTGATGAATTGAAAGAGGTTATATGTTAGAGGGAAATTTTGTCTCTCATAGGAAGTTTATGAAAGCAAAAACTACTTTATATATGATTACACTTTGGAAGGGTATAATCAAGTGTAGCATAGAAGCTCTCCTCATGTGTGTGCACAGTGGGAGTGCAAATCATGGACTGAAAAATGCCTCAGTTAGCAAATTCCCTTTTCTTTATCACTACAGTAGTTCAGTATTTGAAATATTATATTCTGCAAATCAGTTGTTAGGTGTATTCATTTATGGACAGCTGAGGGTTGGTAATAGGCAGTTAGGGAGGTTTATGGAATCGCATCTGGAATATCCCAATCAGAAGTACTTCAGGATAGTGTATCGCAGTGGTCTTGTTCCAAGATTACCTTATGACAATAAAACTTTCTTGGATATGCCTATACTACAACAGCCTCTACATTGAAAAAGTTAATTCTGTTCACTTTTTTCATTTTGCTTTCCCTAGTTGTTTGTGGTCTTTTCTATCCGTTGGGATTCAATTCCTAATACTTGAATATGTGAATGCTGTGTGGGAACTATTTAGGAGTTTGATCATAGGTCACATGCATGGGCCAGAGTATAAGGAGTGTCCACTCAGCTGAGGATTGTAGGACTAGAAATCCCTCGTATCTCGGCTCACAGCTCAGTAGATTTTGTAAACTCTGTACGGCTTGGAAGAAGGGATATGTTCAGATAAGTCCCTTATAAGTGACTCTTATCTTTCACTCAAAATGATATGTAGTAATGTAAAATGTTCTCGATTTGGATTTGCAGGCAATGATCACCATATGCAAATGTTGATAGATGTGTTTGTTCATATGTTTCTCTGTTTGAGAAATTTTGTCATGTTTGTGATGCAGGATCGTATTAATTCGGCAATGAACAGAAAGAAAGGGGGTCAAAAAAGAGAAGAATTGAGGGCAGAAGAAATCAAAATTTTCTTGCTCTAAATTACAATGAATAAGCCATTTATTTATAGAACAAATAATCTAAAAGCAGCTAAAAAATAAATGAACTTCTACTAAACTAGAACTTTATCAAAATATTCAAACTTAACATATTTGGAATCAAACTCTACTTCTAAAAATCCTATCTAAATTATAACATATTTGGAATCAAACTCTACTTTTTAAAATCCTATCTAAATTATATTTTTATTTGTGTCTTCATCAGTTTATGTTCCATTTTTCTTTTCGGGTTAGTGTACAAAGGTTCTCCCATCAAATTTTGTTGTTGTGGATTTCAATAAAAGTTCCATTTTCCTTTTTAATGAGAGTTTGTTCAGTTTTGAAAGAGCTATATCTCAAAGCACAAGAATAGTTAAATATATTCTCAGTGAACCGTCTTGACTAGGATTTTCTCCTTTATAGTAACAATCAGAAAGCATTTGAATTTGGATAGTGCTAAACGTACAGAAAAGTCTCTGCCAGAAAGTTGACAGATGAGTTGGCAGCAACTATTTCTACCTTAGAATGTCTATATTGCCCAGAATAAATTTTGCACTCATAATTCTTTTGGGTTCTAATTTGAAGTTTTTAATATTTATAATGGCTTTGATTGTGGAAATAAATATATAAGGGTATTTTTCGAAAATATGTTTTCTGTAACTCTTCTGTAAGTGAATAATTCTGGAAGAATAGCATTTTCCTTTGAATTTTATCTGCGGTTGAAATAATGCAGAGCATTAGGCAGAAGGGTGAAGACCTTTTTTCAGCAATTCTTGTGATGCAAAAAATTGACTCAATTCAGCAATTTTAGAAACTAATAAAACAGTTATAGTGGAAAAGTATTTTCTCTACATTATGTGGCTTTTATTGCCTGAGATTAGTTTAACCATGGCACAAAGATTGTACAGTAGAATTATATCATGCATGTAACTGCTTTATTTGTTTGCCTTCGATACAAAATTTATGAAACAGGTACCTATTTGTTGTCATTTTAAACTGCATGACTGGCTTGGATCTTACTAAGGTCCAAGGTTTTTAGCCTTGCTACTGATTCTATATGTCCTTTCACAGTATGTAATTCGCCAAGCCTGTAGAGGGTACCATAATTTTTTTCCAAGTTTTCAGAAGGAGGTTCACGCAAGAAATTCGTGGAAATTATTGAGAACAATATATAATGAGAACTGTTAAACGGCTCCAGTTAGTTAAGAAACCTGGCAATTTCAGCCCGACGCCATGCCTGTTCAGCAATCACAGAAGATTTTCTCCTATTTATCTCGAACTCTGTTGATTGCAAGCCCTGTGGAGTTCTCTGAGAAAGCACCCACTTGGCCGTCTGTCAAAACAAGTTATCAAAACTGATAACATTTAATTGTTTTTAACTTGGACATTCATCAAGATTTAACCAAAAAAATCAACTTGGCACTGACCTTCCGATCAAATAAGAGTATCCAGGCTTCTCCAGTTAAAGCATAATGAACTGTGAATTTGATAACATCCAAAGGAACATAAAAGACAAGGCTATACAGCCATATAACACCTGACCAGCCCCATCGGATGCCTCTAATTGGAGCAAAGCTAATAATTGCATAGACAACAATCGGTGTAGCAACCTACATGCGAGAAAAACATTGAATCTATCAATTTCTTACACAAATCTTGTTTTTCATTGTCCTACTGCTGTTGAGGTTCAGGTTTTGCTGATCAACTTTGCAACCCAATTGGCGAAAAAATCATGGAGGAAGATGAAGTCTGTACAAGTTGAGCCACAACAAATGCACATATCAACAGGTTCCAGGCTTCTCAAGAAATGACCAACTCTGGCTGCGTGTAACAAAGATCAACGCCTGACTTACAATACTGACTTGCAAATAAACTGCTGATGAGATTTCTTCTGTTTTGCTCGATAGCGACCTCACATGAAAATGAGTCTGCAGTCAAGTAAGCTATATAAGAAGGATGATATTTGAACAGAATATGCAAGTTGTTAAGAATGATTAGAAACATGATGAAAGAAAAATTTGTAGCAAATCTACCTCAAAAAAGTTGGTGCTATTTGCTAGCCAATAGAATAAGACAGTAACTACAGCAAGGTAGCTACCAATAACAATGCCAGTAGCAAATATCTCATTGAGCTTCCAACTATCTGGTGTCGGAGATGGTTTTACACGATCTTTTGAAATAGCCATTATCGTTCCTACAGAAACATAGAAGTTTTTCATCTGGGGATCTACAGTATGTAAACATAGAAATGGATACACATTTCAGCTGGGCATTATTAAGGTTTGATTATCTTCATTATTATAAATTGCAATGACATTAAATTTGTTCTCTACTCAAATTGCCCACCATGCAGTGGTTCCCATCAGATTCTTATTTCGTCTCTTTATGAATCTATTAAAAGAATAAAGTTTATGATTGCTCTGTACATTACCATCGTTCAGTATTGCTATTATCAGAACCATGAACGGAGGGAAGTCAGAAGTGCAAAACCAAGCTTAAAAAAAAAAGATAATTTCCATTAGAAATACCATTATATACAAAGTACTTGAAACAAGACGTCATAATAAGATAGAGCATACCACAATCCGGATAGTTATGGAGATCGTATATATCTGCACATTCAAGAGAGTAGGTTGTTACCAGAACAAACTCAAGAGTAAAACTAAATGGTATTCATGTCAGCCATAAAGGTGACACAAACATCAACATGAAGTCCATCCCACATTTTATGGAGAAAATTATAAAATTATGAACTTATGATACCATTGTTTTTATGACGAATTCAAGTCAACTTAACTGTATAATTTTTCATTCTCTGAAATATAGATCGGCTAGTTAAAACTGCACTAACAATCACACTTAATCCTGATTCTGTTAAGACAATATCAGCAGCATTCCTAGCAGCATCTGTAGCATCAGCAACTGCTATCCCTATATCTGCTTTCTTTAGAGCAGGCGCATCTTTTACACCATCTCCAGTCATTCCACAAACGTGCTTCTTTCCTTGTAGAATTTTCACAATTTCATATTTGTGTTCTGAAAGTTATATGACAAAATTAATGAATAAGTATCAAACAATTATGATTATTGACTGATAATATACACACTGAAATTTCAAAAAAAAAAAAGGTACGAAGAGAGAAAAATCCAGTTACAGGAGATGAGGTCCCTGAGATCCATAAATTTGGTTTGTATTTATGTAAACCTGTACAACATATCAAATGGAAACCATAAATATAGCTACTGCATGAACAATTTAATTCATGTCCTCGAATCTTGTAGAGCACACAAGGTATTTAAACTTCAGCTAATGTTTGCTTGGACCCTTTTGGACAAATAGTCACAGTACACCTGCTCAATCCGTGTGTAATTTTGGATTGATGGGGCTACACAATTGGTAGTGTGTACACCTGCTCAATCCGCGTGTAATTTTGGATTGATGGGGCTACACAATTGGTAGTATGTTTCTGGATAAAATTTTAAAAAACAAAGATAATATGAAGACATATAGCTCAGTGGACAAAAATCCAGTGCTGCAGAAATCGAGTCTGGTCTGTTTACCATGCAATTATTGTATAAAGGATGCAGAAGATATCAATTCTCAAGAATTGTTGACGCTCAAGAATCCAGTTTCGTCTCCGTAATACCATAAAAATAGTGGGATATTGTAGTCTGCTAAACTGCCATAGATTGTCCAATTTCTATTTCAA